ATATCAAACTAAAAAGCTTCTGCACAGCTAAAGAAGCAATTAACAGAGTTAAAAGACAACCAACAGAGTGGGTGAAAACATTTGCAAAATATACATCTGACAAAGGATTAATATCCAGAATATACAAGGAACTCAAACAACTTTACAAGAAAAAAGCAACACAATTAAAAACTGGGCAAAAGAGCTAAGTAGGCATTTCTTTAAGGAAGATATATGAATGGCCAAAAGACATATGAAAAAATGCTCAACATCACTGAGCATCCGGGAAATGCAAATCAAAACCGCACTGAAGTACCATCTCACCCCAGTTAGGATGGCTAAAATCCAAAAGACTCTGAATGATAAATGCTGGCGAGGTTGCGGAGAAAAAGGAACTCTCATACATTGTTGGTGGGACTGCAAAATGGTGCAGCCTCTATGGAAAATGGTATGGAGGTTCCTCAAACAATTGCCGATAGATCTACTGTATGACCCAGCTATCCCACTGCTGGGAATATACTCAGAGGAATGGAAATTATCAAGTCGAAGGTATACCTGTGCCCCAGTGTTCATCGCAGCACTCTTTACAATAGCCAAGAGTTGGAACCAGCCCAAATGTCCATCATTGGATGAGTGGAGGAAATTGTGGTATATCTACACAATGGAATACTACTCAGCTATGAAAACGAATGAAATACTGCCATTTGCAACAACATAGATGGACCTAAAGAGAATTATATTAAGTGGAACAAGTCAGGCACAGAAAGAGAAATACCACGTTCTCACTTATTGGTGGGAGGTAAAAATAAATAAATAAATTCACACACACACACACACACACACAATACTGGGGGGGGGAAGAAGACATAACAACTACAATTCCTTGAAGTTGATATGACAAGCAAACAGAAAGGACATTGTTGGGTGGGAGGGAGGAGAGGGAAGATGGAGGGAGGTTTCTGTAATGGGCCACAATAATCAACCACATTGTATATCGAGAAAATAAAATTAAAAAAAAAAATAACTATACTTTCATGAAGTTACTACAACAAGCAAACGGAAAAGACATTCTTGGGGGGGAGGGGAGAGAGGGAGGAGGGAGGGAGGTGTCGGTGATGGGCCATAATAATCATATACAGTGTATATTGACAAAATAAAAATTAAAAAAAAAAAAAAAAAAAAAACAAAAATTAAACAAATACATGAAATAGGGAATTAAAAAACAGTAGAGAAAAGCAACAAAATCGAAAGTTGATTCTTTAAAAAGAACAACAAAGTTTGCTATCTTTTATCTAGACTAATCAAGAAAAAGAAGACCAGAATTACTAAAGTTAGAAATAAAGTAGGGACGTTATTACATTGTCACTATGGCTTTTTGTGGTGGTAAAATTTATTTGTTTCTCATTTGCATTTTTGTTCTACCAGTGGGGTTTGTTCTTTCTTGTGTATTTGTGGTAGCGGTTATCATTTTTTGGATTTCAGATGCATTACTTCCTTGAGGATTTCTTGTAGGGCTTGTCTTGTGGTCATGTACTCCCTCAGCTTTTGTTTGTCTGGAAAATACACTACTTTTCTCTCATTTCTGAAGGATAGCCTTGCTGGATATAGTATTCTGGGCTGGCTTTTTTTTCTTTCAGTATTTTGAATATATCATCCCATTTTCTTCTGGTCTGTAGATATTCTGTTGAGAAGTCTGCTGTTAGTCTGATAGAGGCTCCCCTATAGATGACTTGACACTTTACTCTTGCTTCTTTTAAGATTCTCTCTTTGTCTTTGAGTTTTGCCAGTTTGACTGTAGTGTGTCTCGGGCAGGATCTTTTTGGGTTGAATCTGTTTGTGGGGTCTTTGAGCCTCCTTGATCTGAAGGTCTTTGTCTCTCCCTATACCTTGGAAATTTTCCATTATTATTTCATTGTATAGATTTTCCATGCCTGTTCCTTCCTCCTCCCCTTCTGGACCACCCATGATTTGAATGTTTGTGTGCGTAAGGTTGTCTGCTAGCTCTCTGAGGATTTCTTCATATTTAAAAATCCCCCCCTCTTTTTTGTCCATCTGGATTATTTCAAAAAGACTGTCTTCAAGATCAGAAATTCTTCTGCTTGTTCTAGCTTGCTACTTAAGGTATCAGTTGTGTTTATTTTGTTGAGTGAATCTTTCAGTCCCATGAATTCTGCTATATTCTTTTTTAAGGTATTAATCTCTTTGTAAGTTTCCTCCATATCCTGGAGTTTTTTCCTTGCTTTGTTGTGTTGTCTAAGTCTTCTTGTATCTCATCGTGTTTCTATTATGTTGTCTGAGTCTTCTTGTACCTTGTGTTTCCTGAAGGTTGTTGCTTGGATTTCCTTTTCAGTTATTTCAAGGATTTCCCATCCTGTAGGGTCTGGTATTTGAGAATTACTGTATTCTTTTGGTGGTGTCATATTTCCTTTGGTCTTCATATTTCTGGTATCTTTGCATTGATGTCTAGTCATCTGGTAGAACAGTTGCTTCTTCTGTTACTCTGAAGTGTGCTTTGAGGAGAGAGATGTCCTCTTTTTCTGGTCTCTGCTATTGACTCTCCTTTTGTTAATGCATTCAAGTGTCTGGTGGACCGCCTATATGGTGGTTGTGGCTGCTGTGGTGTTGAGAAACAGCCATCTAGGTTTCCCCTGATGATATTGCTTGCTTGCCTTCCTTCCCTCTCCCTTCCCTCCCTTCTAAAAGTAAGATTAGGTGGGGTAATAATGTGTGTGATGTGCTTAGGAAAGTGCTTGAGATGAGACTAGGCTTTCATTAGTTACTTTCTGTCAACACTTATTTCCTCTCTATTGTTGGTCTAGATATAGCTTTAACTTGTTTTTCCTTGTTTCAAATATTTAACTAACACCTTGTTCTGCTCTCCCAGCCTGGAACAGTTTAGCATGTAATGTTTCCATAGCTGTAGATGATACATGCTTTTTACTACTTATATTCTGTGGGATGTATATTTCTAGTGTGTAGTATGGCACTGGGGAATGGGAACTAGAAAAAGGAAGGATTAAGTTTAGTGCAAAGGGGAATGGTGAAGAAAAGAAGTAAAAGCTATGGTTTTCTTCTCTACCTGGTCTTGTAAATAGCTTTAGACAGCTTATTTGTAACTGGGTTCGTTTGGTTTAATGCTGGAGTGGCCTACTAAAGATAGATATTTTTATGAGTCAATGTGTAGTCAACATTTCTTTCCAAACTTGTTTTGATACCTATTTTTATCTTGTCAGTGGATATCATTTTTGACTACCTCTATGGATTAAGTAGGCCTCATAGAAAAATCCCATGATAGGGGCTCCTTATCACCCAGTATCGGTCTTTTCTAAATAGAAAGCTAGGAAAGACTATCTGGAAGCAAATTACAGTTAATTTGGTATATTTGCTTTCTAGCAATAGAACAGATTAAAGTCTTTGGCCATTTTTGTAAACTTAATCGTTCTAGATACCTTAAGGCAGCATTTTACTGACAGTATTTTCTTTGGAGCCTAGCCTAGCTCCATAGTTAATTTTCTGTCTTCCATTGCTATTTTCAATTTATTGTATGCACACTAGCCTTTGCCCAGTTTCCTATAGGCCCTTAAGGAGTTTATAATCTACGTTTGATTTTTGTATTGCAATGCCAGATTTGCTTTGTGTGAGGTAGTGCTGAAATAATAGTTATTGTGATAACTTTGGCATTTTTCATGGCCAGTTTTGTGTGGCTTAAGCTAGATTTCCTTTGGTGTCCATTTACTCCCAGGGTGTGTCACTCTGCCATCCAGCTGGTGTGTGCTCTAGAAATGCAAATTAATTTCATTATTGACCCAGGCAAAACATAATTAAGAAGACAAATCTGCTGTAAGAGATCATGTATTGCACAGCCAAACAAATTATTTTTGTTTGAGCCACAATTTTTTTCTTTTTGTTGGTGTGGATAATACAAAGATGACTGTTGTTGGAATAGCTTCTCATTTATTGTAATAATCTTAGGATTAAGATAGCAATGCAATAATGCTTCAAATGCAAACTTTTTTTTTTTTTTTTTTTTTTTTTTTTTTTTTTTTTTTCCGGG